CCCCCCCCCCCCCCCCCCCCTTCCCCTCAAGTCCACCAGTCTGTATCACACGCACGCGGCACCTAAGAAGGCAGATGCGTGTCGCACGTGCTCACCTCAAGCAGCCTCTCCCGCTCTCCTCCTCCTTGCAGCTCAGGCGCATCGCCAGCACGCCGTCCACGTTGCTGGCAAACGCCTCCCTGCGGTGCACCAGGCGGCCCTCGCGCTGGCCTCTGCTTGTGCCAAAGCCGAGGCCGAGGCCGAGGCCGAACCCGCCGCTGTCAGGCGGACCCTTGGAGCTGAATGTGGCCTCCGCTAAAAACAACAAGACAACAGAGATGGGAAAACCGATAGGTGACAGCTTGCCGCGAGAACGCTTCCGGCTGGGAAAACAGAAGTGCCCGGAACACAGGGGCGTGAAGGGTGAGAAAGAGTGTTTCGGGCGAAGAAAACACTCGAATACAACACGGGGGGGGGGTCACCACCGCCGGGTTGGCTTGGATACAAGGTCAGGGAGGGCAAGTCAAACCAGCGAAGGCCAAAGGGAGAAAAAGTTACACCATAAACGAAAGACACCTTCTGGTTGGACCAAAAACACACCGGCGTAAAAAAAAAAAGGCATGACAGCAGTGACGAGTATAGTAGCTGTGAGTGAAAATCCTCGACTTCACCACCAAACCTTAACGACAGGGGTTGGTGTACACCTCGATGAGTAGCGGCTATCTACGGCTGAGAAGACAGGTTCCGGTGACGAGGGGGTAACGATACCAATATACAGAACGAGTGTTGGCTGGACTCTTGCTGAAAGAAAACAATGCACGAAAGCGAAGAACATCAAAGGCAAGCACCGCAGAGGCAAGGTGAGAAAAAAAAAAAATGTATGTGCTACGCTCTTCCTGTGTGACCCCGGCTGATCAACCAATATACCGAACGGAGCAAACTGGCGCCAGACTAAATTAGATTAGATTAGTTTAGGATAGATGGGGCGAAAACACACATACGACACACGACACTCACCGGTGCCGTTGTTGAGGTGCAGGTGGCGAATGTACCCGTCGACGGGCCCCTTCTCCCGCTCCCCTCCCGCCTGCTGGCCGCCGCCTTCGCCGAACTCCAAGAGCAGTTCTCCCGCATACTCGAAAGACCCCACGAAGCCTTCCGGGCTGGTGGGCATGCGGCCCGCAGCCTCCTGGGCAGCGTGAACATCTCCATCGAGGAGCGATTCCCGTGCACTCCGAAACTTGTCATACCTTTGGAAGTGGACACAAGAAAAGGGGGACCCGCACTGAGGTTTTGGGGGGCAGCACGGCGGCACAAGACAAGACCAGGCCGTGGCGCCCGGCACGGTATTGAGGTGGCATCGGCGCTGCGCTGGGAATGTCTACTGCAGGTGGGGCGGCGGTGTTTATGAACTACCAGCCACCGCTTGGTCATGGCGATCCGCGGTTTAGTCGCGGCAACGTTACCTACCTGACTAGCAGCCAGCACCAACAGTCGCAGGGGCACCCAACATTGAATATAACCGCAAGAGATCGGAAACGAAAGAGAACGGCCGGAGATAGTTGGGCTCTTCGCTCGGATGGATGCAACGACACCCGGCCAGGTGCCTTGAACACTTGAGCTACTGGCTGGTGCTTTCGAGATTTGTGGAGCTACACGCTATGCGTTCCTTTTCCACATCATGACCGGGTCCAGCCCACCCCAAAATTACCAAGCACATGACGCATGTGACAACGAACGATTGGTGACAAAAGAGTGAAACAGACAACACATCTGGAGCGAACTGTGTTAGCAACGTTGAGCGCCGGGGAAACTGCGTGTTCGTGTTCTGAATCGAACCAACATCACTAACCCGACGCAAAAGCATGCATGGTAAATGCTACTCGAAGAGGCAAAAGCGTCGGCATTCTGCGCAAACATAGGTATGGCTAAAAACGTAGACGGGAGCTGTTGCTACGAATGACAAGTCTGCAAGGTGAATGTGTGTATATAGGCTGCCGTGTGGTTGCCCACCTGTCCGGAGACAGCGGGAAATCAAAGGTAGCCCCGCCTGCCTTATGTTTTCCCTTTCCTGACCACAGACTGCCATGGCTCATGAACATGGTGTCCTAAGTTTGGTTCAGAGGCGAACACAGCAAAATGTGATGTGGGAGAGAAACACGCACAAGAATCAGAGGAAGGTGGACTTTCTACCCCATCATGCTCCGAGAGATTGTCGCCTAGCGTTTCCTGCGCTTTCATTCACCCAAGGATAGCGGGTAGAGGATAGAGACAGTTGTCTGCATGCAAGAATAAAAAACACTCCAGTACGATACATACGACTATAGTATGTACTCGACGCAAGCGAACCCGGCCCGACGACTTGAAAAGGAAGTCATGCAGTGACCAAGTGATAGCATGAAAAGGAAGAGATGAAGTGACGATACCAAGGCATGTCCGACACAACGTCCGTGTCAGCTGGCTACATTAATAGCTGTGCGGAGAGACAAGAGGGTCTACCGTTTTGCGTATGGTACGTGAGATTGTGCTAGAAAGCGCCAATAGGCGACTTGGGAGAAATAACTGCCGATGTTGTAGTGATGCGGAATAGATGCTCGGGAGCATCGAAAAAAACATTCGAGGAGTTGGATGCGGGGGTTCGGGACGTGTGAGATGGGTAGCAACAAGAACATTTTCAACACGTAGGGGGGTCAAAGAAAAGAGGAAGGGATGGGGGGAGAGCGAGAATGTAGCTTGCTCTTTCTGTCTACCTTTCTCCCTCTGTCTTCCTCCTCTCTCTCTCTCACTTTCTCCCTGTCTGCCTGTCTGCCTGTCTGCCTCTCTCTCTCTCTCTATCTCTGTTGCTCTCTCTCCTTCATCAATAATTCTTGGTCATCGCACCTTAAACGTCCTCATGCCCAACATCGCCCCAAGGTACCCGTTGCCCAGGGCGTAGCTTGTCGTCCAATCCGAACCAGGCTCGTCATCCCAAAGGTCCAGGGCATGGACACCTACAGTAAAAGACAGAAAGGATCACAAAGAACGGCGGATATGCAAACGGTTGTCCTGCGGGGGGGGGGGG